CTGTAATCATGGCGCTTTCGCCTGTAATTGTAATTTGGCCACAGACAAAGATAAATGCCATCAAAATCAATAAAAAATCTTTTAATCAAAGATACCTTTTCAATTTTTTTCAGATTAACACTTCGCGAGTTTGGCACTAGCGTAATAATAATAATAAGTTGCAGTCGATTTGTAAATTAGTCACAGATGTGATTATCTATACTATAATAATATTATAAAGCTTTGAGAGCTTTGAAGAGTTTGTTTGTTTGTTTGAACGCGCTAATCTCAGGAACTACTGGTCCGATTTGAAAAATTCTTTCAGTGTTAGATAGCCCATTTATCGAGGAAGGATATATGCTATATATCATCACGCTAAGACCAATAGAAGCGGAGCACCAATGAAGAATGTTTCAAAACCGGAGAAAATTTATTACTATTGAGAGACGCAGACGAAGTTGCGCGGGTCAGCTAGTATGTTTTATAAATTATGTCGTTTATGAGTCATATGATTTCAAATGAACTGAAAACTTATGATCACAGGTTATTGCGATTTTATTCCTTCCCTCCCCAGATTGTTTGTATATTATTATATATGTACGAGGGGTGATCAATAAGTAATGATAATCAATATGAAACAGAACTATTAGATTAAAAAAAGTATTTTATTTTTCAACATAGTCTCCTTGCAAGTTAATACATTTAGTGTATCTTTTTTCTAAGCCCATGATTCCCTTAGAAAAAAATTCTTTGTCTTGACCCTCCCAAAATGCCTCTACTGCGGCCATCACTTCACTATTGTCCTCAAATTTGTTGCCCCGGAGGTGTTCTTTGAGCCGAGGAAAGAGGTAGAAGTCACTGGGAGCTAGATCTGGCGAATAGGGAGGGTGTTCGAGCAGTTCGAACCCCGTTTCTTCAATGGCAGCCATCGCAACTGCGGCTTTGTGAGCCGGGGCGTTGTCTTGGTGAAACAGCACTCCAGCGCGCAGTTTACCTCGTCTTTTTGACTTAATAGCTTCTCGCAATCTTCTTATTTGGCCTGCGTAGTAAGAGCCTGTTATAGTGGCCCCCTTTTCCAAATATTCCACCATAATAATTCCTTCTGCATCCCAGAAAACAGACGCCATAACCTTTCCCGCTGAACTTGACACTTTGAATTTCTTCGGCGTTGGTGAGGAAGCTCGTTTCCAAGTCATTGATTGTTGTTTGGTTTCGGGATCAAAGTGGTGGATCCAGGTCTCGTCCATGGTCACAAAACGCGACAAAAAAAATTCTTTATCGGCCTGGAACTTTTGAAGATTCACCCTCTTAATGTCGACTCGTTTCTTTTTTTGCTCGTCGGTTAACATTCTCGGTACCCAACGCGCAGAGACCTTTTTCATATGCATTTTGTTGACAATGATTTTTTGAACGCTGCCATAGGAGATCCCTGTGACCTCAGCTACATGCCTTACGGTCACCCTTCGATCGGCCAACACGATATCTTCCACTTTTTTGACGTTTTCTCCAGTAAGGGACGTGAAAGGGCGTCCCTCGCGATGTTCATCTTCAGTGGAGGTTCTGTCCAGCTTAAATTCCTTTGCCCAGCGTGCGACTGTGGAATATGGAGGAGCAGACTCCCCCAATGTTTCCTCTAAGTCGCTGTGTATGTCTTTGGTAGACATTTTTTTCAGGCAGAGGTACTTGATGACAGCTCTTATTTCATTTTTCTCCATTTTGATGTTTTCTCTTCGACAGTTCGTATTCAAATGAATGTATCTCCCGGTAATGGTGTCCTATTTATACATTTTTTTGAAGCTGAAGTAGTGGATATATAAGCAAGCAGAAAAAAAAAAATTGGGTTTTTGTGCGTTCTAGAAATACTTGATTATCATTACTTATTGATCACCCCTCGTATGCAGTTTTATCGTTAAAACGGTTGGTTAGTTCCCAAAGCAAATTCGCTTGAAGTAATCTAAAATATTCGTAATCTAGAATATTCTCGATTATACTGTCATATTGCTAATTATAACATAACAATTAATTAAGATTTTAAAGAATTTTCTTTACATGTCCTTGGCTTAATATTATTTTGTTTAGCATATTACAACATGGAGACGGCAGAAATGAGCTTATAGGTAATAGTTTATTCGGCATATATGAAATACTAGTCGTTTCCCGCTATTTCACTTGCTTGTATGGTTCCTGCTCCATGCCCTAAGGGTCTTAGAATGATATTCCATTGGCCATTACCTCCTAAATGAATCATCCAACATTCAACATGAAGACAGTTGTTTAAATCTGTTTGATAGCTCTCGAGATTGGTTTTCTTAAACAAACAATTAATATAGAAATGGATTGTAAAAAGTGTGGGGTGATTTTTAGTTTTTTTTTAAAGGTCTAATAGCAACCGAAATTACTAGTATTCCCATTAACCCCTCCCGCTAAGCTAAATTGATTGTGTTAGGAGTGGGTTCACGTTGGTAGTGTACTGGTCAGGATTTGAACCCACAACCTCTTGATCGCAAGTTCAATGCCTTTACCACTAGGCTATATTTCACTAATTATAACTACTATATAAAAAGCTACCAAAGCTATATATAAAAAAAACTCGGTTATAATTTGATTTTGCAGTTGTATGGTTGCATTTTTGTTTTTTTTTATTCAATTTTATTAAATTTTAGTCTTGTAAGTATATTTATCGATTCTTAAAGTTGGTGAAAACTGTCACATAGATAGACTTGCTTGCTTGATGCTTAGTAAAATTAGAAAATATGAAACTGGCATTTCAACTGTAGCTTTCAGGATCATTTTTAACAGAAAATTTGATGTTCTTTATCATCAATTTAATTTAAAAAAATAGAATAATAAAGAAAAACATGTAAAACTATAACAAAACAATAGTTGGTCTTGTTTATCAATATGTTGATAAGGAACTTACTCATCATGGTTTTTGCCAAGGACTGATAATAACTGTCTATTTGATTCCCATGGTTATAACAAACGGAAGGCAGGTGCATTCTACAATGGATACCTAAGAATTTTCTTTTTGTGTCATGTGAAAACTCCATGTGAAAAGTCCTAAAAACCCCTCTGAATGTCATCCCTGGTGTGTCAGAATCATCATCATTATCACCGACAGCCTTTAATAGTCCACTGCTGGACATAGGCATCTTCTTAGAAAGGAGGTTTTGGCCTGCCATGCTAGCCAGATGGGTTGGTATAGATAGGGTTTCTTTCTCTTTGCAGTGCTGTTGTCCTGCGTAGTTTGCTCCCTTAGTCAGCTCAAACATCACCAACGGGATGAATAGGGGTGGTGACACTCTGTATTATGGAACCATCACCACACAGGTGTCAGAATCGAAACCTCTAAAACACACAGTGTACAACTCTGCACTTTAAATAGGAGGGATCTGGGAATAGCTATTATTAGGAGATTCAGAACCTACACGCAAACCTATATTAAACCCCTCATTAGGTAGGTAACTTGATACAGGCAGACTACAATAGAATGCTGTTACTGACCAAATCAGGAGTGTACTAAAGAAAGAATTCTCACATATATTACAAGAAACACTAGTAATTTAAGACAGTTCTGTAATACTTTCTAATGAATGTCCAGAAGATTAATATCTACATTTCATAATAACATGGTATTTTTCTGCTGTGATGGATGCACTTTCTATTTCTAAAGTTTTGCCAACAATGATGATGATGATCGAGGTTTGGGCTTTGATTCTTGTCACCTTGTTATGAGTGACATTGACTTTCCCAGACTGCTCATATAAGTGTTAAGTATGTAATTTTTATGTTACATGTATTTAAATAAGTTAATATTGATGTAATTAACATTAAAAGGTCAATCATATTAATGCTTAGAGATTCTGGTTTTAATAGTTCAATTAAGCAATATCCAAACTACATTAATACTGAAGTAATCAACTATATGAATTTAACGAAACCCCCACAGGATTACATAATTTAAATATTATTAAATGGAATAATCCTAGAGTATAATCTGATGGTAAGTAGTTAGCGGTGACTATGAATACCACAAAAATCATGGAAACAATGACTTGGGCATTTCCAATTCTTCAATCCTGTGAATATTATACAGCCACATTCCCTAACAAATCACTGCCATAAAGTTTAGGCAGTCACACTGCCTGACTAAAGAAAGTGACACCAGTAATTTTTTGGCAGGACTACCCCCACTTTCATAGTAATTCTATTGAGTGTAATTACTGGATGTATGTAGGAGCTTTAATTAGAGCAGATCTTTAACCAGAAGTATGGATCTTTTAACATTTAAATATGGAACTGAGCAAGACCACTCATTGTAATCCTAATGTGTGTTCTTATCTATCCTGTCCTGACTTGCTTTTTTTATCGACTTATGTAGTTTGGTATACAATAAACTGGTATTGATCTATCTCTATCTATCCATCTCTCTACAATAATAATATGGATATCATTTCGATTATTTCATAGATTTAATTTTTATTTTCAATAAGGGCTTAAACCTTCTATTTCAAATTCATTTTATTTGTTTTAATGTTTTATTTAGAATACAGCAACTTATTTACCTCCTATATGTACTATGTCCTAATTTTATCACCAGGAATTTATGGTTTGCTAATATATTTACGGAGATAAGTGCCACATATTTAATTAAAAAAAATATAGTTTTAAAACACCATCGTTCAAGGCATCAAAATTAATAAACTGTAATTAATTTTATGTTAATCATAAAATGTAATTAATGTCAACAACATTTTACAATTTATTACAAATATAAAGCCTATGACTTCATTATAAGTACATTCTTGAGTAATATGTTTTTTATTCAATGGTAAATATTTTGTATCAATTAAGATATAATTACAGCGAGTGTGATGATGAGTGATAAATTGTAACATCACTAAGGACTATTTATATCCTATGCTAAAATGGCTGCAGGCTACATAATAAACTTACTATACCTCAGTATTAATTTACAACCTATAATGTTATCAAAGACAAACAGAAAAATGAGGGCTCACCTTTGCATCTTTTCCTTATTTTACTAGCATCCACCAAATTCCAGTCAACCGAGTCCCGAGCAGGAGCAGGCACAGTGCCTCCGATAAGCTCCACAGAGCTGCTCCGCTTATAGCTAGGGCCTGGAACTGGCGGAAGCTCCTCTGGCTTTTTATAGTCCTTCACTGATGATACACTAGAGCATTCCACTATTTCTACACTCTTGTCCATAAGTCCATTGTTACTTAAACTACAGTGCCCATTTATGGGAGCATCAGTTTTGGGCTTCTTACAAGGGGACTTCTTATGCTTCTGACCGCTGTGACGACGCTTTAACTTGGTTGAATGCGAGGAGTTCCGTGAACTCACAGGTGAAGGGCACCCGCACTCCATACTGCCCTCCTGATCGCTGCCTTCGTAATAACCCGATTCGTGTTCAGGCTTTTTGTCAGGCAGGCTCATCTCGGCGGTGGCCATGGCTTAGCCGTCGACCAAAACCATGTAGACGCAGACTCCACCACTTCACCAGCTCATGAATTTTGTAACGGTTTTGAGCACCGCCTTCAAGTAAACGTGGTGATTCCGACAGTTAGTCCGCCACAGACGGTGATGAAAACTCAAATAAATTAAACTACAACAGTAACTATTCCTTCAACTTTCAGCGAAAGTACAAGCGACACGTAAAGCATTTCGCGAGTAGTTACCCCAGTCTGCGACAACTTCACGCGGTGGTCCAATCTCAGATGGCGCTGCAATATGCTATAATCCGCCCAAATGCAAAAGTCCCCCAACAAGTAGTTCGGTCGCACTTCGATACGTCAATGCGTTTGGTCGACACAAATTCCACTTGTAAATAACTTCACACTACTTAAACGTCAAAAATTTTAGTTTTGTCTTCTCTTTATTTAAGTTAAATACAATCATTTACATCCATATCACAGCCTGTTCGTCGTCTAGTTACACAAGGTTCAATACCCACAACAATATAGGTATTCCTTATAAATCTTATAAAATTTTCACCACACTGTCAGCACAATTCATTAATCACTACGAGAGTTCAATATTTTAGTTTAATTCACTAGCACTATGTATAAATTGTCTATCTCTACAAAACATCTATATACACTATATAAATAAATTAAAAATGTAAGCGCGCATGAGATGTGCACTCACTCGCCGCGCTAACGATACTGTATTCGAGAACGCAAAATAGAAACCGTGCGACGGCGGACGGTGTGCGAGCAGCGCGGTCCCCTCCCCCCCCCCCCACCATTTACGATTTACGAGGCCACATAGTGCATGCGAAACATGCAGAGAAATCAATGAGTCAATATTTTTGTTTCTTTACATTCATGTTTCCTGTTACTGTGTAGATAAATTTGAAATCTACGAATTGATGTAATAGACACTATTTATTATTTGTAGTATTAGGTGGTATTTTTAGTTTTGTCTTTATTCTTCTAATCAAGCTTATACTACAAAGACATAAATAAAAAGAGACGTGGCTAGCGCTTATCTGTTACGTAGAGCGAGATAGAAACTGTAAGAGTGCGATAAAAAATATTTCGATCTCATTCATGATTCGCTGCAGAGTGACCGTGAAGCCGTTGGGGTTAAACATGGATTGAAGCATTAATTGATAGAGAAATTTATAGAAATGATTTCTCGTATCTCACAGAAAGTAAAAATATAAACGTTAAAAAAATTGATTGAGGAGTGTGCAATTCAATTGATGTAAACAATCTTTGAGATCCAGAACCAAACCATGGTGTTAATATTGTTTTGAAACTTATACCGTTAGGGTGCAACAGGTCAATATTTTTAAATATAAAGATATTTTTTATTGCTGGGCTATGTAGGTACAAGTAGATCTAACATCATTTCGGCCATTGAACATCAATACTTAAAAAACTAGGATGCTTTAATAGTAACTTACAACAACAAAAAAACACCACGAGTGTAGGACTAAAACACTCATCTTGCTTTTTATTCTGGAAAATTCTTGCAAATTATGATATACATTCTCCACTAACCATTTCTTTGCCTGAGTAGAGTCCAAAGGTTCGTTTTGAATAAGGCTAACGGGAATAACAATTGTAATTGTTGTGTTCGGTATAGTTATTGTTTATAGTACAGGTAGCGATGACCGTAAGCAGGACGGCCGCCCGTATGCCTCGTTTCCAAGTAAAGTTATAAAAAAAGTATTGTAGAATTTAGCGATCTGTGCTTGTGAGCAAGATGCACATAATCCGACAGAGGCCATTGCAAATATATATTTTTTGAAAATGGTTATTTAGGATAATAAAGTACAAATATTTAGACGCAGTAATACGTCCAAAATAGATAACAGTTTTAAAGTGATTCTGGAGCATATTAAAAACGCAGTTGTTTGTAAGGATGGCTGTTACCGGTTTATATTGGGCGAACGCAATTAATCATAAGTCTTATAATGATGTATCTCCTTAATTCTATTATTTTAGATACCCTATTTAAATGAGCCCTTAGGTTTATTGGATATGTAGGTAGGCATTGTATTTAATATAGATAGGTGTATTTATATATATGTAACCAGTTACGTAGGTATTGGTATTGATAGAAGGTTTAAAATACCTACAGAATAGATATTCTGTAGGTATTTTAAACTTTCTACAAAAAAAATACAAAAACATGCAGATGCATGTTTTTGTATTTTTTGTAGTAATATCAATTTCTACTAAATTTTATGCAACATTCACTATCCCTCCTAATCTTTTTCATCCATGTAAAGATTGCCTGGAAGAGATTGCGTTTAACAATATGGCCGCCTTTTGTAAATTCCTTGTTGACACGATACCTTCACTGCAGTATTGTATGATACTTTCACTATAACGATGGTGTGCAAATTAAGAGTTATGTATCTACTTGTAGCAAAAGCTTTGATCAAATATTGATCGAAGTGCAAAAGCGGCTAATCGGATTTGCATGAAATTTGGCACATGGTGTATTCTGCTAATCACAGGAATGCCGAGGACATAAAGCAGCAGAAATAATTTATCATTTGAAAATAAAGTGTTATATTGTGTAATGTATTATACCTAGCTTACCAAGCTAGGTATAATCCATTGTTTACTTTTGAAATCAGAGAGGTGCGGCACTTCATTTTTATTTCTCTATTACTCCATTAACTAATTATTTTATATGTGGCCCCACACTGCGTTAGTAACAAAGGCAGTCCTTGTAAACAGAACAATAATTTTGTCCGAACTACTTAGTTTACCGAGAACTACAAATCATTAGAAAATAACTCTTAATAATTATTGCCCACTTAATGTTAGTATATGAATAGACTTTCGTACGAATTTTTTTACTTACCCAGGTAACTATCCGTCATAAAGCTGCAAGTTAAACAATAGCAAGCTTTGTAAACGCATCCCGACTTAAAAGAAAGGATTTCTTTCGACTTATTTTCATTATCACTTTAAACAATAGCTCGTGGTGCAGATAACCCAAGTTAAGCCGAGTATTTTTTAGACCAATTTATTTCAATAGAATAGTTTGGTCTTTACGTGCAAATATCTTTTCATCTTTTATCGACTTAAACAATTGGTTTAAGTATCCCATTTTAAACAAAATATATTATATTTTTATAAATTATTACAATAACATAAAGCGGGTTCAAGGCAGGTATAAGTATCCCAACTCAGATAATTAGAATATTTTTAAACGTTTTACAGAGTGGTGTTTAAATGATGGTTTCAGAACATCAAAATCGTTTTAACCTTTTGCCTAATTTACTTGGGGTCAGCAGTAAATTGACGAGTTATCACTCGTCAATTCACTGCTTAATCGCTTCCTAGCATATCCTCTTACACGCAGTCGATTCATCTGTTTTTTTAGTCGTCCTCTGCTCTTACATCCATCAACTTCCATACTTAAAACTCTCTTCACTACATTTTGCTAAGCTCATATCACATGTCCATACCAGGATAACCTGTTGTTTCTCAACATTTCATCCACTGGTGCTTCTTTCAGGCTTCCTCTAATGGCTACTCCATTCTAGTCACACCAGACATCCATCTCAACATTTGCATTTAAGATACAGGGAGGCGTCTCTCATCCGTTTTCTTTGCTGGCAAACACTCAGATTCATGCAGAACGGCAGGTCTGATGACCGTTTTATGGAAAAGGGAACCTTGGATCGCAAATAGTTCAAGTTACCTGCCGCCACTTCATTCATACTGTATTGATTCGATTCTACAGACCTTTCTATTTCGCCATCATTTTGTAAGAGCGAGCTGATGTACTTGAAATCGGTGCAGACTGGAATCGCCGTTCCATTCAGTAGCAACCATTTCTGTAGCAAGACTGAAGAGACCGCCGAAATCACCGAACATGCAACAAGTTCTGGTTCTCCTGATTTCCAAGCCCACATTCCTTCAGTCTTTGCTGCCTTTTTTTTTCCTTTGGGGTCGGCGTAGTATGTATTATTCTTTCAATCTACTCTATCATTCGTCATTTCACTCCCTTCCTTGCCATATCTCTCTCACACAGTCCATCCACCAATTCCCATATCTAACACTTTCCTCGCCATATTTTCCTCATCTCTCCTACATTCCAAAAAAACGTGTGCGTTACCCCAGCAAAATAATGTCGAAAATGGTCATTTAAACTTTATAGATAATTAGTTGCTCCCCTTCTGTAATTGTTAAGCACATTTTTAAATTTGTTTCACTTAAACTTTTTTAGTTATTTCAAAAAAACATTTCCTGCTGGAGTAACGTTTGAAACTTTACCGCAGCCAGACATTTTCTTTTTTAATTGTAATATTGAAATAAATTTTAGCTAACTAATTAGTTATCGGGACTAGGTAAATGTTACAACTTATTTGGTATTTGTATTTTCTTCGGTTGCGAAGTTATTCGAAATCCTGCTGGAGTAACGTTTGTGGGTTTGCTGGATCTCTGAAACGGGTAAGCGGATTGTTACCATCTTTTGTACATAACTTCTTAAGGATTAGTTTTAATTTGTTCGACAAAATAAAATAAAAATAAACAGTTCAGGATGAACAAATTAAAAACGATCATAGGTACGACCATCTTTTAGGTAGACAACGATCATCTTTTAGGTAGGTATATCACTTATTACTAATTTTACATAAATAATTTATTTTATTATAATTTAACTCACCGCGATTTTGTGATCAAATATTTTATTTTCTCCAACATTATTACAGAAATAATGCAATACAGAGTTTGTTCGCGATATGCTAGCCTAAGTCGATTCATCACTTAAAAAAATCCCCATCTATTCACAAAATACCTATTTACAACGCATACGTTACACTCTTCAAAACTTATCATTTCATTTCATATTTCTTGAATTACCTATACCTACCCTAAAATTAAACTTCAATTAACAAATACTACGCAGGTAGCAATTCTATGAACAACTATAAACAATTCACCTAAACATTACGAGAAAACAAAAGCATTCAAAAT